CAGTGCCAGTGCCAGCTGCTGTCGCCGCTGTGTCGCCTGCTCGCGGCGGCCCCGCTGCAGCTCCTGCAGCAGCTCCGCGCGGCGCCGCTCCCGCTGCAGCTCCCGGCAACGCCAGTCCCGCTCCGCCGCCTCCTGGCTGCGCCTGGAGCGCAGGGCCTCCTGCGGGACACCGGGGACATCGGGGACAGGGACAGGGGACACTGGGGGCATTGGGGACAGGGACAGGGGACACCGGGGACACTGGGGACAGTGACAGGGACAGGGGATATTGGGGACATTTGGGACAGGAACAGCTCCCGGCAGCGCCACTCCCGCTCCGCCGCCTCCTGGCTGCGCCTGGAGCGCAGAGCCTCCTGCGGGGACATTGGGGACACCGAGAACAGTGACAGGGGACATTGAGGACACTCGTGGCATTGGGGACAATTGGGACACTGGGGACAGGGACAGCTCCCGGCGGCGCCACTGCCGTTCTGCTGCCACCTGGCTGCGCTTGGTCCGCAGAGCCCCGGGGAGGTGACAGCACCTGGGGAGGTGACAGAGCCCCGGGGAGGGGACAGGGGTGGCAGTGCCACCCACCTGCGCCTCCTGCCAGCCCCGCTCGTGCTCCTGCGTGGCCTTGAGCCGCTCCAGCTCCCGCTGCCGCTCCCGCCGCAGCCGCGCCCGCTCCGCCTCCAGCGCCGCGTCCCGCTCCTGGGGACAGCGACAGCGCTGGGGACAGGGGGACAGGGACACCGGGACAGGGACACCGCTGGGGACAGGGGGACAGGGACACCGGGACAGGGACACCGCTGGGGACAGGGGGACAGGGACACCGGGACAGCGACACCGCTGGGGACAGGGACACGGCTGGGGACAGGGACGCAGTGGGGGACAGAGCCCTGGGAAGGTGGCAAAGCCCTGGGGAGGTGACAAAGCTCCGGAAGGTGACAGCGCCCTGGGGAGGTGACAAAACCCCGGGGAGGTGACAGCGCCTTGGGGAGGGGACAGAGCCCCGGGAGGAGGAAATGCCACAGGAGGTGACAGCGCCTCATGGTGGGACAGCACCCGGGGGAGGTGACAGTGCCCCGGGGGAGGTGACAGCGCCCGGGGGAGGTGACAGTGGCCTGCCAGCCCCCCCTCACCCCCTTCTGGCGCTGCTCCTCCAGGGCCCGCAGCTCCGCTCGCCTGTCGCGCTCCCTGTCGCGCTGTCGCAGCCGCTGGTTCTCCGCGTCCACCGCCTTCATCTTCCTGCTCCCGGGCCAGCTGCTCCTGCTGGGCGCTGGGGACACGGGGGACATTGTGACACTGGCATTGGCACTGTGCCCACTGCCACTCCAGCTGCTGCTCCTGCTTGGCATGGGGACACCACTGTGACACTGTGACACTGGCACTGTGCCCGCTGCCGTGCCAGCTGCTGGCCCTGCTCCCGGGCCAGCTGCTCCTGCTGGGCACTGGGGACACGGGGACACCACTGTGACACTGGCACTGTGACACTGGCACTGTCACTGTGCCCACTGCCGTGCCAGCTGCTGGTCCTGCTGGGCGCTGGGGACACGGGGGATACGGGGACATTGGAACTGTGACACTGGGACACTGGCACAGCCCCTGGGGTGACACGGGGACACCGACACCGTCCCCTGGGCACGGCTGGCACAGCGCCCGGGGTGACACCGGCGTCCCCAAACCCCCAGCTGTCCCCGTGCCACCCCTGCTGGGTGCTGGGGACACGGGGGACACGGGGACATTGGAACTGTGACACTGGGGACACGGGGACATCACTGGAGCACTGGCACTGGGACACTGGCACAGCCCCTGGGGTGACACGGGGACACTGACACAGTCCCCTGGTCACACCTGGCACAGCTCCCGGGGTGACACCGGCGTCCCCAACCCCCCAGCTGTCCCCGGAATCCCCTTGCTATAGATCCCAATTCCCCGGGATCCCAAACCCCTGAGATTCCCTTCATTAGGATCCCCATTCCCTGGAATCCCCATTCCCTGGGATCCCAAACCCCTGGGATTCCCCCGCTATAGATCCCAATTCCCTGGGATCCCAAATCCCTGAGATCCCCCTCATCAGGACCCCCATTCCCTGGATCCCAAACCCCTGGAATCCCTTGCTATAAATCCCAATTCCCTGGGATCCCAAATCCCTGAGATCCCCCTCATTAGGACCCCCATTTCCTGGAATCCCCATTCCCTGAGATCCCCATTCCCTGGGATCCCAAACCCCCGGGATCCCCCTGCTATAGATCCCAATTCCCTGGGATGCCAAACCCCTGAGATCCCCCTCATCAGGACCCCCATTCCCCGGGATCCCCCTTCCCTGGGATCCCCAGCAGCTCCGTGTCCCCTCCCGCTGATGCCACCACGTCCCCAAGGCCACCAGCGCCCCAATCCCACCCCACACTCTTCCCAACCCTTCCAACCCGAGTTCCCAAACTCCCGAATTCCCGCTGGGAATCTCCCACCTCGCGATCCTCCCTCTTCATCTGCTCCAGGTGCTCCATGAACCTCCGGCCCTCCTGGAATTTCTGCTCGGCCCTCAGCGCCTGCTGCTCCTGCCGCTCCTCTATCTGCTGGAGCACCTCCAGCTTGATGCTGGGAATTCGGGAAGCATTCGGGAATTATTTGGGAATTTGGGAATTCAGGAATTTGGGAATGGAAAAGTTCTGGTCTGGCTCCAGAATTGTGGAGTGCATGGGGTGGGGAAGGGGAAAGGAGGGGAAAGGGAAAGGAGGAGAAAGTGAAATGGAAAAAGGGAAAAAGAAAAGGGGAAAAGGAGGAAAAAAAGGAAAGGAGAAAGAGGGAGAAATGGGAAATGGGAATGGGAAATGGGAAATGGGAAAGGGAGCTCTGGAGCTTCTCCTGCCTGTCCTGGATGGAGCTGCAGCGGGCACCCAGCAGGAGCTGGGGAAATGGGAAATGGGGAAAGGAAAAAGGGAAAAAGGGAAAAAGGGAAAAAGGGAAAAAGGGAAAAAGGGAAAAAGGGAAAAAGGGAAAAAAGGGGAAAGGGGAAAGTTCCTGCAGCACAGGAAAGTACCGAGTTCAGGTGCCGCATCTCGTCCTCCTGCTCCAGCCTCATCCCGGCCGCGCGCTCCAGCAGCTCCCGGCGCTCCCGCTCCTGCTCCCGCTCCAGCTCCGAGCAGCCCTGAGCCTCCCGCAGCTCCTCCTGCCGCTGCTCCTCCCTGCGGGCCCGGCTGCGCGCCTCCTGCGGGACAGGGACACTGCTGGGGACGGGGAAATGGCTGGGGACACGGCTGGGGACACGGACAGTGCTGGGGACAGGGACACTGCTGGGGACACTGCTGGGGACAGGGACAGTGCTGGGGACAGCGACACTGCTGGGGACAGGGACAGTGCTGGGGACAGGGACACTGCTGGGGACACTGCTGGGGACAGGGACAGTGCTGGGGACAGCGACACTGCTGGGGACAGGGACAGTGCTGGGGACAGGGACACTGCTGGGGACAGGGACACTGCTGGGGACAGGGACAGCGCTGGGGACACTGCTGGGGACACTGCTGGGGACACTGCTGGGGACGGGGACACTGCTGGGGACAGGGACACTGCTGGGGACATCCTTTGGGACACTCCCAGGGACATTCCCAGAGCCTACTGCAGGGACAGGCCTGGGATATTCCCAGGCAATTCTGGAGGACATTCCCAGGGCCATTCCTTGGGGACATTCCCAGGGCCTCCTGTGAGGACAGTCCCGGGACATTCCAGGCACCCTGGCACGAGGGGAGTGGGAAAAGCGGGGTCGGGAAAAGAAGGATTGGGAAATTCGGGCTTGGGAAATTCAGGATTGGGAAATTCAGGACTGGGAAATTCAGGACTGGGAAATTCATGGGGAAAAGCAGGGTCGGGAAAAGCGAGTGGGGAATTCGGGATGAGGAAATTTGGGATGGGGAAAAGCAGGGTCGGGAAAAGGAGGAGCGGGGAAATTCAGGATTGGGAAGATCAGAAAACAGGGAATTGGGGCTCAGGGAATTTGGGCTCAGGGAATTGGGGCTCAGGGAATTGGAGATGCCCACGAAAGCCGCGTCCTGGCGGGATTTGAGGATCCGCAGCCGATCCGCGCGCTGCCGCCCCGGAGCCTGAGCCTCCTCCTGGATCCGCTGGAATTCCTGGGTGCCGATGATGAGCGAGGCCGGGGAGCGATCCCTGGGAATTCTGGGGGTCACAGACCGGGATCAGGGACACGGGGACAGCTCCTGGGGTCGCCAAATCCCACCTGCATTACCAAATCCCTCCAGATCCCCAAATCCCCTCAGGGTCCCCAAATCCCTCTGGCTTCCAATCCCCCACAGTCCCCAAATCCCTTCTGGGTCCCCAAATCCCCCCTGAGCCCTGAAATTCCCGAGTCCCCAAATCCCCCCTGAACCCTGAAATTCCCGAGTCCCAAATTCCCTCTGAGTCCTGAAATTCCCGAGTCCCCAAATTCCCTCTGAGTCCCCAAATCCCACCTGGGTCTTCAAATCCTCTCCAAGTCTCCAATTCCCTTCTGGGTCCAACTTGTCCCTGAGTCTCCAAATTCCCTGGGAATTCTGAGTCCCTGAGGGTCCCCAAATCCCTTTGGGGGTCCCACATCCCCCTGAGTCTCACACGAGCTCCCGGACCACGTCCTTGGTGAAGACCCGGATGGTTTTGGGTTTGTCCTGAGGCGAGGGCACCGGGCCCGGGGCGCTCCTCACGTCCCGGAGCTGCACGATGGGGCTGGAGTGGTCTGAAATCTGTGGGAAAGGAGGGGGTGAGACCCCGAAATCATCCCACAAATCCACCCTCAAAATCCCATAAAAATCACCTCAAAATCCCCCAAATTTTAGGGTGAGATTTTGAGCTGAGAGACGCCCAAATTCCCCCAAAATGGCTCCAGCTTCACCTTTTTCACATTCTCCCCCTCCTCCTGCTGCTCCGTGTCCCTGTCCTGGTCCGTGTCCCTGTCCCTGTCCCTGTCCTGCTGCTCGTCCCTGCCCAGCTCCGCGCTCCGCACGCGCCGCAGCTGCTCCTGTGGGGACATCGTGGGGACATCGTGGGGACAGCCCAGGGCATTCCCGGGGACATTTCCAGGGATATTTCCAGGGGGCGTTCTCAGGGACATCGCGGGGCATTCCCAGGAGAAGGAAAATCAGGAGCAGGAAAAACGGAATCGGGAAAAGCGGGATTGGGAAAATCGGGATGAAAAAAAAAAAAAAAAAAGGGATTGGGAAAAGGGGGATCGGGAAAAGCGAGTGGGGAATTCGGGATCAGGAAGTTTGGGGGGGGGAAAAGCAGGGTCGGGAAAAGGAGGAGAGGGGAAATCGGGAAAAGTGAATGGGAAATTCGGGATGAGGAAATTTGGGATGGGGAAAGCAGGGTCGGGAAAAGGAGGAGCGGGGAAATTCAGGATTGGGAAGATCAGGAAAACAGGGAAGATTGGGATCAGGGAATTTGGGATGGGGAAAAGCAGGGTCGGGAAAAGGAGGAGTGGGGAAATCGGGAAAAGTGAATGGGAAATTCGGGATGAGGAAATTTGGGATGGGGAAAGCAGGGTCGGGAAAAGGAGGAGCGGGGAAATTCAGGATTGGGAAGATCAGAAAACAGGGAATTTGGGGCTCAGGGAATTGGGGCTCAGGGAATTTGGGATCAGGGAATTGGAGATGCCCACGAAAGCCGCGTCCTGGCGGGATTTGAGGATCCGCAGCCGATCCGCGCGCTGCCGCCCCGGAGCCTGAGCCTCCTCCTGGATGCGCTGGAATTCCTGGGTGCCGATGATGAGCGAGGCCGGGGAGCGATCCCTGGGAATTCTGGGGGTCACAGACCGGGATCAGGGACACGGGGAAAAATATCCCGGATTTTGGGGGAAAAGTCACGGATTTTAGTAAAAAAATCACGGATTTTGGGGGGAAAAAATTCAAAATCTGGGGGAAAAAAATGAGGATTTGAAAGCAAATAATCCTGAATCTTTGGGGTAATAAATCCTCAATTTTGGGGAAAATATCCCCGATCTGGGGGGAAAATCCTCCAGATTTTCGGCAAAAAAATTCCTGTGTTTTATTTATTTATTTTTTTTTAATTCTGAATTTTTGGTGAAAAAAAATCCCGAATTTGGGGGGACATAGTCCCGTATTTTATGGAAAAAATCGGGGGAAAATTGGCGGGTTTGGGGAGCCTCACATGAGCTCCCGGATGAGGTCCCTGGTGATGACCCGGATGGTTTTGGGTTTGTCCCGGAGCGAGGGCAGCGCTCGGAGGGTGGCGGTGACATCCTGGAGCAGCACGATGGGGCTGGAGGCGCCCGCGGGCTGCGGGGAAGGATGGGGTGAGACCCCAAAATCCCCCCAAAAATCCCGTAAAAATGGCCCCAAAAATCCCGTAAAAATCGCCCCAAAAATCCCATCAAAATTCCCAGAAAATCCACGAAAATCAACGCCAAATCCCCTCAAAATCACCCTAAAACCCCTCTAAATTTTCCTAACTCACCCAAATCTCTTCAAATCCCCCAAATCACCACAACCCTCCCCCAAACCACCCCTAAACCCCCCCAAACCTCACCAAAATCACCCCAAAATGACCCAAAACCCCCCCGAGATCAACCCCAAAATACCTCCGGTGCCCAAATCCCTCACCTGACGCCCTTCGCTTCCCCTCTCACTGCCCCCCCCGGTGCCCAAATCCCCCCTCCCC